GGCACAGAGACAACCCTGAACAAAGTAAAATTATTCCATTCCATTTCCATTTAGATCATGATGCATTATAAGCATTTTAATATAATTTCAGTCATTACACATTCTCATAATGTTGTGTCTGGTTCCATGGACAGTGGCTAACAGTTTTTTTTGCATTGAGGTATAATTGACGTATAATACTATATTAGTTGCAGGTGTACAACAAAATGATTTGATATTTGTATATATTGTGAAATGATTACACACTAAGATTAGTTAACACTCATCACCATACATAGTTATGAATTTTTTCTTGTAATGAGAACTTTTAAGATCTACTCTCTCATCAACTTTCAAATATGCAATACAGTGTTATTAACTATAGTCACCATACTGTACACAATATCCCCAGGACTTATTTATTTTATAACTGGAAGTTTGTACCTTTTGACCACCTTCATCCATTTCACCTACCCCCCCTACTCCCCTCCCCTGGCAACCCCCAATCTGTTCTCTATTATCTATGAGCTTGTATTTTTTTTTTTTTAGATTCTATGTTTAAGTGAGCTCATATGGTATTTGTCTTTGTCTGACTTATTTTACTCAGCATAATGCCCTTGAGGTCCACCCACGTTATTGCAAATGCAAGATTTCCTTCTTTTTTTTGGCTGAATAATATTCCATTATACATATATGCCACATCTTTTTTATCCACTCATCCGTCAATGAACACTTTGGTTATTTCCACATCTTGGCTGTTGTAAATAATGCTGCAATGAACATGGGGGTGCAGAGTTCTTTTCGAGTTAGTCTTTTCATTTTCTTTGGATTAATACCCAGAGTGGAATTGCTGGAAATACCATATCAGTGGTAGTTCTATTTTTAATTTTTTGAGAAACATCCCTACTAGTGGCTGCACCAATTTACATTACCACCAACAATGCACAAGTTTTCTCTTTTCTCCACATCCTCGCCAACACTTGTTTCTTTTCTTTTGGATAATAGCCATTCTAACATGTGTGAGGTGGTATCTCATTGTGGTTTTGATTTGCATTTCTCTAACAGTTCTTAATTAGTCCATACTCACACCTTTTAGCCAAGGTTAAGCTTTGACTCTCATCTTGCTTTAGGCTAATATCCTTTTTACTTGCTCAGTTTCTTCTGGTGCTCTTAGGTAGGCTAGGCTAGGCTAGGCTATGCTGCGGTAACAAACTAACCCCTGAAATCTCAGAGCCTGGACAACAGCATGTTTGTTTCTTGCTCAGGTCAAGGCCACTGGGCATCATGTGATTCTCCAGGGCAGCTTTCCTCTGGATCCTCAGTGATTCAGCTGCTCCCATGTTGCAGCTCTGCCATGTCAACACATCGTTTGCTGTTGCAGGGAAGAAACTAGCTGGAGGATCACAGCTTTTGCATGTGTCTGCCCAGAAGTGGGATTTCAGCTCAAAACCCACTAACCAGATCCAGACCCCTGGGGGGCACATGACTGTCCAGTGAGTCATAGGTCCCATTCACAGTTTGTCCTGATTTACTTTAATCCTTGTTTTATATTTTCCCCAACAAGCTAAGCTACTTTTTTTCTTTTCCTCCTACTTTCCTCTTCCCTTTTCCTTCTGTTCCTTCGCCTCCTTCTCAGACTTTGCTTGATGCAGTTATAGCTTCCCGTTCACTAAGGCAGCCTCTGGTTTTCAGAGGACAGGCTGTGGGGTCAGTTAAGTCTACGCTGTTTGACTAATCTCAGCAGATGAGTCCAGACAAGTGACATCACCTTTATGAAACCTGTTTAACTTCAACCCATGATTCTCACATTTGAATGTGCATCAAAATCACCCAGAGGGCTTCTTAAAGCACAGAATTCTGATTCAACAGGTTTGGGGTAGGACTGGAGAATTTATTTTTTAAACAGGTTCCCAGATGACGTTGATTTTGCTGGTTTGAGGACCAGATTTTGAGAAGCGCTGACTTAAAGTTAAACCCACATTTGACAGCAGGTTGTTTCCATTAACCTGGACTAATTAGTTTTAGAAACCCACGTTTTCTGCATGGTAACACAGCCGGGATGGTGTGGTGGGGAGAGGAAAGAAAATATTTTGATGGGAAATGTGAGAACAGAGTTATTCATTGTTTGGTCTGAGGATGGAGGGGTAAAGTTTTGTAGTCAATTCTAACAGGTGCCTGGGTCATTGGAGGAAGCCTTCAACCTTTTCTTTTGGGGATACCAATGACAGGGGCTCCTCTCTTGTCTCAGGGCTTCCTTTATCAGTGACAATGCTTCCGTGGTACAGATAAGAAAATGCTTCATTCGAGGGCACCTTCTACATAATGTGAAGATGTAGGTTTGGGGATTTGCTTTTTGGTTTGATGACTAGATTTAATAGCAACATTTGTCTAACTCTAATTCAAAGAAAAGAATGTGAGAGAATGAAAATATCACATGAGGCACCTCAATATCACTTTCTTCACTACTTCAGATGGACTAGTTAATGCTTGTGGTCTCTAAAAGTGGCTGAAACAACTAAAGTATGACCTGTGATCATTTCATGGCCATCCCACGCATAGCCCGTCTTTATTTCCACCGTGACTGCCATTCATCTAGGGAATCATAACTTGTACTAATCCCTTTCTCTTTCAGGCAAATTTAAAAAATAATTGAGATCTGTCTTCCTGTTGTTTCACGTCAGGTTCTTCTTTAAGACCATTTTTGGATTTTGAGGGCAAATCCTGACAAAGTGATATTATTCTAGAATAAATGTTTTTGAGAGACAAAATGGAATCTGAGTCTGAAAATGTCTTTGCTGTTACTATCCGTTAGACTGGTGCGTTTACTGATCTTCAGGGAAGTTAAAATAGGGGATTTGTGTTCAGAACTTCCAAGGCTCCATCTGAAAGCCCCTCGTTAGAACATATGTAAACATCTTGCCCTTATGTTAGTTTCTGTGCCTGCATGTGGAGTGTCCACCATGATAAGTTTGAGAGAACTCTTACGTGTGGAAAATGTTCTCCACTTACATAACAGTTTAAACTGGTAGGTCAAAACTATATGGGATCCATAACTAAGTTTAAAAATCCCTTTTTGAATGTAGTCAAATATTTTTGTTCTTTTTAACTCAAAAGCTGATGAAGTAACTATTAGATACACAAAACAATACAAAACAATAATCTGATGGTCTTGTCTTGGTCACCATTTTAAAAGTTCTAAAAGCACTTCCAAACCTTTTTCCAAACACGTATTTTTTAATCCAACTATAGTCTCTAATCATGGTTGATTTATTCCTTTTTAATTTTTTTCACTTAATATGATTATAGTAATTTCCTATATTTCAAGGTGGCCATCTTAATTACATTTTTAAATCAAAGAAAACCATTTCACTGTGCAGATGTACCATCAATTACTAGAATAAACATTTATTCCATGTTTTTTGCTCCACCCATTTCTCTCTTTTTTCCCAGTGTTGGATTGGCAATGCATCACAGAGCAGCTTCCTGCACACATTGACTCCTCCTGCTGGAATATGTTCTTGGATTGTTTTCTCTGAAGTGACGCAAGGGACATGGGTATTAGTGACGCTATTTCTGTGTGCTGTCATCTCCCTTTCACAAAAATCTGTGCCCATTTAAATCGCTATCATAGGGGCAAGGTTTAGCATGTTGTCTGTCTTTTGCATGATAGCTCTGTGATGGGATATGTCCTTCCTATTCCTCTTTTCTCTCCATACCTCTTTTTCTCTGTCTCCAATTTGGAACCCCTTTACTCCCACTTGATAAGCGTCTTCAGTGTGACTACCTTTTATCTCTCTGTTGACAGTGTTGAATCAAGAGAAGGAGGATGCCTGACAGAAGCCTCAAGAGTGGAGGCTGGCGTCTGGTGGGGTGGAGTAGGGAAAAGAGCTCTCATTCACATGTGTGATGTGATATTCTCAGGCTCCCTATGGACTCTTCAGTAAAATCTCATTGTTCACTAATGCTTATGCAGTCACTTTCCTTTTTGGGGATTGTCCATACTGAATATAATTCTAGGTCGGCACCAGATGACCCCAAGGGATAACAGCTACTTCTGGTTTTGTGGGTACACGTCCAGCCTCGGGAGTCTGCTTCAGCCCACAATACTGACACTGTAGGGTCAGCAGTGCTGGCACCGTGGGAGATTCTGTATTTTGGATTCATTATCACTCTCATGAAATATTTCCTTTTGTTTCTTTCCTATTTGTCCGTGTTTAAGTTCATTCAACAGAGGTTTACTGAGTCCTTGCTGTGCATTAGGTGCTGAAGTGATGATAAAGATAAAGGTAGCTAATGCTTGTATTCTTCTTCAGAGCTTAAAAATGCTGTTGCATATATTAATCTTTTGGATACAATATGGGCTCTGCTTTCCAATAAATTACGGGGACATAATAAAAATGCCTTGTGTAACTGAAGTCAGGAGTTTGAGCAAAAGGAAACAGTATTGAGAGGTGCAGGTGTTAACCTCATCATGAGAGTGGGCTTTCAAATGAACAGAAAACTGTTCTTCAAAATGGCAAAACAGATTAGAATTAATGCCTCACATTAATGAAGGGATTCTGAATGAGTGGCCGTGTATTTTTTAATAGACCAAGAAAAATATTCTATTCAGAAAAAATGAAGAATTAAAATGACTGACAGCTTGACTTCCTATTTTTGTCCTTTCCTAATTATACTTCTTTATGGAGAGAAGAGCGGTGGTGACAACCCCCAGAAGTGACGGACGCTTGGGGCCACGGGTTTGCTTGGGGGCTGCCAGGAAAGCTTTTGTTTGATTTGCTCCATGGCCCGCAGCAAAGCAAGTCTGTAATTTTAGCTCTAGAAATAGTGTTCAGTTCAAGGTAAGTAAAAGAAAATTTAAGCATCTGTCTCTTCTGAATACATTCTGTTTTTGACAAACTCTTTTCAATTTTGTTGTTCAGACATGCTTAAGTTTTCATGGAGCTACAGAAAAGTCCTTGATATTAACTCTTAAATTAAACTTCTCAGGAAAAATAAGTTCATGACAAAATGAAGGCAGTGCAGTAAGGATGTCTATTCAGTGGGACTTGGGCCACAAAAAAAAAATTTTTGGCAATACAAATGAGACAGAACAAACCACGACAATATATTATGATGCTATTTCTGTGTAATTACGATAATGCTGAATTTCGATTTTGAAATCTGCACGAGATGCCGGTTGCAGGCTCTCAGACAGAACCCAGTGGAAGGAATGGAAGTAGATGTCCCAAGGAGGGTTTGGAATTGCTTGGCTGCCTAGTAGTCCAAGAAAAATCTTCATCACAACAGTTCTGGCAAATCACAGAAGACTCTTCAAATTCAGAGAAGTTGATTCTGTTGAACACAAAAAAGGAAGAATGAAATCAACTCCTTTGTGGAGGGGATAATGCTCTTATTTATAATGTAAAGAAATGCCGTTTATGTGTTCTATGTTGACCTTTAGAAATCGTCTGACTCCAGTACACTAGCAAGGGAAATAATTGGTTTGTAGCCAATAATAAAGACAATCGGCTACAAGGTTTGCTTTGCTAAGTTGTCCCTCCTGTCGCATGTGCATGCAGTTGCACATGAGTGCAAAGGCATGGTACCAGATTCCCCACTAGCATTTGTTTATGCCGGCAAAGCAGTCAACACACTTACTGGGAGCCAACAAAGCACTTGACACCATGCTGGGTCACTGTGCTGCTCACAAAGGCCACAGCCCTTGCCTTCACGGGACCTACAGAATGATAGCACTTGTCTTATCTGTAGTGGATAATTCAGCAACTTCATTTTGTGTGACAAGTTTAACAATAGGGCAGGAGCAGACGTGAAGACCAAGAGCACCCAGTGGAACGGGCGTTTCTCAGTGGGTATGCCAACACAGGGTTGGAGAGGTACCAAGACACTCACCTCCTGCACCTTTCAGAGTGGCTGGGTGGGGCATGGAGTGGACACAATCTGACCTCTCTGGCCAGAGAAACCTCTGGTGGCCTCTCCTTTCACCTCAATCCATTCATTACTTGGTGTCATTCAAGTGTTATTGTTTCTCTTGGTGTCATTTCATGAATGTTGGGAGGCATCATGGTAGAGAGTGGATGCCTAGAGAAGATGATGGCTAATCTGAGGCTTCAAGTCCAGGAAAGAGAATTCCAGGCAGAGGCTGCAGCATATGAAAAGGACGGAAGACCTGCAGTACCATAATACCTAGGGCAAGAGTTGGTGTTTGGTACAGCTGGAGGGAAGGGATGGAGGGGAGGAGGGGAGAGATCAGAGCAAGGGGATGAAGAGCCTTGTAAGGTGCTTCAACTTCCTCCCAAAGTCTGGGCAGAGCCACTGAAGGCCTATAAGTAAGGCGGCCACTCCGTGTGGTCTTTTACTGGGAGGAGATGGAGGATGGGAACAGGCCAGCACGTGAGCTCAGTGTGAGCAGCTTGGGAGGGCTGGTGAGGATCCAGGGGGGATGTGATCAAGGCCTCGACCAAGGCAAGACAATTGTTAGCGAAAAAATCGTTTGCAAATTATACAGTAAACCCTCAAAGCTGACTTTAAAATATGCCGGAGGAGATTGCGTGTATAAGTTGAAGATAAGATCTGTAACTACCAATTAGGGCGATTAAATGTATTACTGATTCTTTAATTTCAGACCACAAAGACATCATGACATGAAGTTATGAGAGTTTAGACTAAATTTAAAGAAATCGCTTGTTTTTATTTTTTAACAGAGTGGAATTTGTTCACGCAAAGGGAATGCTTCTCTAGAGCTACTTAGGAATGTCTACACAGACATCATCACAGGTGGTTAGGACAGTAAAAGTAGGAGAAAGGAAGAAGTGACCTCCCCAATGTTTCTGTGTTCAGGGATCTTGTCCTTAAAAGGTGATGGTTAATCTTATATCTGGGGATTGTGCATCAGCTGCCAGCCTCCATACTATTTCTCTTCACTTTGCAGTAACCACTGATTCTAATGTGGCTGAAGTTTATGCATCCTCACTGAGATCCTGGACCCGGATGATGTGCGGATCTGTGTAAGAGTGTTACATTAGGACTATTCTGGAACTTTCATGTTTCAGAAGTTAGAGCTTGGACAACAGTATATCTGATTCAGAACCGTGTTATAGTGGAATTTTGGTGAGTCCTGGTGAACGTCTCAAATACATAAAAGTGATGTCCCTAGTTTGGTAGCATTTGGAGTTTTTGTGACCAATTATGATGCTGAAACCAAAGAGGGCTGCACAAGAAGAGATGGTTTGGCTTGACTTTGATATGAGAAGAACTGTCCTAACTATGAGAGAGCTTACAGGGAGTGGTGGCATGTTCTCTGAAGAACTTTAAGAATCGCATGGAATCAATTCCTCCATGCACAGAGGCTAAAACATGCCTTACTTGAAGAAAAGGGGATGGACATCATGACTTCTTAGATATTTTCTGGCCCTATTATTTCATTTTTTATGAGCCTTTTAGTCAACCTAACATAGTATCCAATAGAACAAGGCTTTTGAGAATGAGCTTTTGAAATTAATATGTTTGGATATTGCTAGAAGCTCTTTGAATAATGAAATGTTTTAATTCAAGAGCCAGGAGTGAAACGCTCACCAATATACTACTTCCAGGTGAAGCCACAGCTCTACACCAGTTGTTACTCTTACAGTAACTTGCAGGCAGTTTTAATTATTAACTAATTAGGGGGTGGAAATGGAGCCTTGTCATTTTCATTATTCTCCTGGAACATATTGTTCATCATTTTTGGCATTTGGCATAGTGATAAAGAGTGCTTCAGTCATGATTTAAAAAGGGGATGCATCTTGGAGGTAGATTAAATCGAGGTTTAGTTTCTTTGCCTCAACAATGATATGTGCCATCTTCAAGCGAGGCTCATGACCAGTGATGGGATTTATAATCATTTGTGGATCAAGAGGGAAGTGCTAAATACAGGGATGAATGAATGCTGAAGGCTTTGGGAGATATGATTGCTAATTCTGTCCTGGAGATTAATGTTTCATAACAGGCAACTGTGGACATGGGCTTTGGGGAAATACAGACGGGGAGAAGGGTGGGGTAGCGGAGGGAGAAGATATGTAACAGAGAGGACATAGGGAAAAGAACATGCAATGTGAGGCTGTTCAATATTTATTCTTGCACCAGATATTTCTGGTGGGGGAGCACACCAGCAACCTCTTTAGAAAATAGTCTGGCTGTTTCTTATAAAGTTACACATGTACTTACTATATAACCTTGAAATTCCACTCCTAGGTATTTATCCAAAAGAAAAGAATATATGTGTTCACCTTTCACCCAGCCCCCCCAAAAACTCCCTAGTATACAATGTTCAAAAATGTTTTATTCATAATAGTCCCAAACTGGAATCAATCCAAATGTCCATCAACAAGTGGATGGATAAACAAATTGTGGTATATCCATACAATGGGCTACTGCTCAGCAACAAAAAGGAAAGAATCACTCAAACGTGTGCTGAAGAAAAAACAAAATGGAGGCCCACCACCCATAGTCACATCACCAAAATTAAAACCGTCCTGATTTTCCCAAAATGCTGACTCTGACCTTCAACAAAACTTAAACTTTCTTCATTTCAGCAGGATCTTGCAGCTTCCTGGACAATCAGCTACGAACAGGTGAGCTTATGCAGTAGTACAACCCTAAAGGAATGTATGTTTCTAGTAGCCAATGACAACAGAAAACAATGCATTTCCTCACTGACATTTTGTAAACTCAGCTGTAGGCCTGAGAGCCAAGCTTTCAGCTTTGACGTTTCCCTGTTCACCAATAGTTTGTTTCTTGTTCAACAAAATATTCATATCAAGTAAAGCTCTCTGAATTTTCTTTTGACACATCTAACAACGTGGGCGGATCTCAAAAACAGTAGGCTCAGCAAAAGACATGAGATGCAAGAGTACATACTGTACAGTGTTATTTCTATGAAATTCTAGAATAGGTGAAACTAACCTATAGTGTAAGATCAGTGGTTGCCTGGGGTTGGGGTTGATGGGGCTTGGGGGTTAAAGGAGCAGGATGGGTCCCTGGCTGGGGGGATATTTTATATCTTGATTGGAGTAGTGATTACATGAGTGAATATATTTGTTGAAAGGTACTCGACTATACACTTAAAATGAGTACAATTTTATTGTATATGAATTATACTTCAATAAAGTTAATTTTAAAATAAAATTAAAATGTGTTCCTCTTCTTTTAGTAACCTCAAATATTTTTATTTAATAAGGATAATTAACAATTTATTTATTGTTTACTGTGAGTTGGATGCTAAGTGCCTTAGATTATTGTATCTAGGATGTAATTACTATTATCCTTCTCATTTTGTACATTGAGAAATGGAGGCTTCGAGAGGTAAAGCAATGAATGAAACTAACCCGATGTCACTGTAGAAAGGGTGGGAGACAGGATTTGAGCACAGCCTTTCTGATTCCAAAGTGCTTGTTCTTGTCTACTCTGTGAAGCAGCTCTTTTTTCACAAAGATTGCAATTTTGCTTCCTTGATAAAATAAAAAAGAACTCACCTGTTTAGCTTTGTGCTCTGGGGTGCTAGTGTGAGGGCCAGGGTACAGTCTGCTGGCTGGAGTGCATAAACCCTTACTCCGAGTGCCACAGGAATGGACAGCCCATCACAGCCCAGATGTCCTGATTCCTGGCCCTTCCTCCTGAGCAGGGGTGTGGAGTTGGCTGGCCAGACAACGTGGACACAAACAGGACACACAGTCCTGACGCTGCTCAGACCAGATGGAGGAGCCATAGGTCACTGCACCTAAAAGACCTCTTCGGCACGGAGGCTCAGGTATCCTTCTACCCCTGAGTCATCTCCTTCCCCTTAGTGGCATCATTTCTTCAACTGTGGCCAAAATTGCCCTGGACCACCCCTCAAGGTTGAGCCAGGAGTAGACTGCCATGCTGGTGGAAACCTCAGTCTAGTCTTCGCAGGCTCTGCTTACTTCACTGATCACCCAGTAAGGGCATGAGCCGGTGGGCAGTTCTCATCCCTGGGTGGGGAGATAGGACAAGATTTGGAGTGGTCTTCTCCTTCCCTGTCCCAACTCCTGCCTCCCATTCCACTTGTCCCCAAGATGGGCCAGAGAGCAGCCACGTTCTACAGCCTGAAGACTGAGGCCTCCGCCATTACCACCTATGAGGACCTGAGGGGTGCTTTCAATTGAAATTAGGCTGGATTTAGAAATGCCATCACAGTTCTTGAATGCCCGAGCCTATGGACAAGGTCATCCATCTCTATATACTTATTGGTCTGGTGTGCTGGCTTTGGGGATTTGGGTGCACCATTGAGGGTCAGGCCTACTACAATGTACTCTCCTTCTAGGTTCTGGAAGAGAAAATGGGATAGGAGGATGTTGGTTCCCTGGGTGGGTTACAACATGGACTCTTATGTGGCTATTGGCAATAGTTCTGAGCCCCACACGGGGGAGACAGGGGAGGTCTAGAGGAGGCTCAGGGCTGGGGAGAGATCAAAACTTCTTTAGCGCCCCCTAGGTTGCACAGGGGTTGTGTCTGCTCCCAAGCCTGGAAGCTCACCATGCGCCTAACTCAATGAGAGACACAAAGAGGAATCCCATAAATGGGGACACAAGAGGATTTGACATTACATTCAAATGCCTTTTGACCTGTTTTTCTGCATCCAACCTAATTTCAATTCAAAGTGCAATGTACTTCAAGTACACTAAGATAGAATTGCTTCTATGAGAACGTTGACTCAGACCATTACTATTCCTCTCACGGTAACATTAATATGGGAAAATCCAGGATAATTTACCTCTGCACTCCATCTCCCAAACTTCCACTTTGTATCACAAACAGTGATGGAAGAAGGAAGGGAGTGAAGAATGAATGAAGAAGTAGTTGAATACAAAAGGGAAGATTAGAAAGAGGATAGAATGAAAGAGAAGAGAGATCTTTCTGGGATTGAAGGAGACTGATGAAGAAGGCTCTGGTTTAGGAGGAACGAAATAGTAGTCTCTTCTGGTCTGCCTCAAAAGGGGTCATACATTTCCCTCATAGGTCCTTTTCCTGGCCACCCCTCCCATCCAAAACTCATTTTCATGGGGTCATGTTCTTTCCTTTTTTTAAACAGAAGTGCATAACTCTTCCATAATGGTAGAGGAAGAAGACAGGATTGCTACAGAGCTTTGATTATTTAATTATCAGATCACTTCAGGTATTTCAATGTTTGTGGTATCAGCAATTCTGAGTACGTGTTGCTTTTCTCACCAGAAGCTATTTTTTAATGAAGTTAAAGTTGTCCGCTGTCTCGCTGTTGATTTTCATTTTTTTAATCGTGCAAGACCTTCCTGTAAGTGACTTCAGAATATCCTCTTTTCACATTTAAGGCCCCGATTTGCTGAGCCTGTGGGAATCTTACAACCAAAGTGATCTTAATGGTGTTTTAATGTCTGAACTCTTCTGCTTCTATGTGTGAGGTTGCCAACTGGATAAAAGAAATGGCTTTGACATCCCGGTGGTTATTGGAGTTGGGAGAATGCCCCTGAAGGGTGGAAGGTTTGTGAGTTTTTCTTTGCTAGATGAGGAACGGTTAAACCACTGAACCTGTATCGGTACCTACAGTGCATTAGGGTTTTTTTGGTCTCTTCACACTTTAGGTACCTTGAGATATTCTTGGGTAAATGCTTACGACAGAGGAAATAAAGATCTTATGGATGACACTACCTTGTAAATCAGAAAACATTTAAAAAAAAAAGGGAAAAAGGGGAGGTTTACAAGGGTTGGTGTGAAGTGAATCAAGGTGTAAGAGGTTCATGGGAGAAGTCACGAAGGCAGTCTCCCATTGGAGTCCGGACCTTGGGGCACAGGTCTTGACTGGAGACATGGATTTGTGGGTACTCAGCCAATAGCTGATGTTTGAAATCATTGATCTATATGAAGAGAGGGTGCAGAGCAAGAAGAGGAGAGGCGTGAGGATGATCAACATTTAGGGAGTGAAGGGAGGAAGAAGAATCGAAGTTGATTCTAGGAAAGGAGTTGTCAGGGAGATGGAGAGAGGACCAAGATTGTTCCATAATCTTTACTTTACCTCCCAGATGGATCTTTTTGGGGCTAATGTGCCTCTCCCTGCTGCTGCCATCTCCATTTCCTTTCCTCTTGTGAGTTCCTGAAGAACAACAGAAATATTTCCTTTTGCTGTTCAAGCCCCTGAGTTTGGTGAACATTCTCTGTAGTGACAGAGCCTGTCTCTCAGGGACCTAATGAATATGAAGTATCATACACCCCTCCACCTTTTAGTTCTATGCCCTGGATAAAGGCTGCTTCTTCTTGGACTTCAGATAAAATTAAACTTGCCTTCTACAGGAACAAACTAGGCACACAAATGTCTGACATAGAACGGTGCACAAGTTAGAAGTTGAACAAATAAAAACACCTGGGTACAGGTAGATATCTTTCCTTAATGTATAACTTTTCTCAATCACTTCTCAGCATGGTACTTGTTTTCACACAAGTTTATGAAGAGTTAATTCCCATCTGATGTGATTTTACTCCTCCGCACTTGTCTTTTATTGAACAACTCTAAGCCGGTTTTTCCAGGTGTCAATGCCCTTGGAACCTTTCTTTTGCCCTAATTTTTTTCTACATCAGGGAGTTCTGATTACACTATATTGCAAGCTCCTTGAGAGCAGGCACCACTCTTTTACTTCTTTTTACTTATTGAACTCTTTCTATGGGAAATGACCAATGAATATACACTTGCAAATTGATTGCTTACAACTTATCAGGGAAATGACCAGTGGGCCCTCCTGAGATTCCAACTCTTTCTCTACTAGTTGGTCCATTTTCAGACCCAGTAGAAATGGGATACAAAATCATATGCTAAGGTTTACTGGCTTATATGAACATCTTGAGAGGGTCTCTTTCAAATAAGAAAGGAGCCTCAAACAAATTTTACTATTATAAAGTTTTTTCTCTGTATTAAAAAAACTGTGTCATGTTGACCTTCATCTTTGAAATCCATGGCTACGGGAAACACAGAGGACCAACTGACTCACTGGCTGTCTCATTTTAAAGACAGTTCCACTGTTTTCAGAAAACTTCCTCTTCAAACATATTTAACCTGAACAGACTGAGTTAAATAAAACTGGAAATAGAGATATAAAAATATTTTCCACTATTACTCAGGGTGTTTTAATATCCACTAGCTAAATTATTAATTAAAATAGTATGTATGAGAGAAGGAGATCTGGTGGGCCCACATGAATTGGTGTCTATATTAGTTTCCTGTTGCTGCTGGAACAAATAACCATAAACTTAGAGGTTGAAAATAACACAAACTGATGATCAACAGTGCTGGAGGTCAGAAGGCTCACAGGGATGAAAGAGGTCAGGAGCACTGTGTTCTTCTGGAGACTTTAAAGGAGAATCCATTTCCTCGCCTCTTCCAGCTTCCAGAGGCCAAGTACATCTTCCATCTCTGTCTTCTTCTGCCGCCGTCTTTTGCATATGCCCTATTCTGACTCAGTCATTTTAAAAGGACTGAAGCAGGAGTGATGATTATAAACCTTTAATGCATCAAGGGAATATACAGCCTGTGTGTGATAGACTGAGCTCTCAATGCTGGGTGAGTTATGAGACAAGATAAGGGAGGATACAGGGAATTGCGGCAGCCTGAGAAATGCCGCTCGTGCACTTGGCAGCAGGCATAAGTAGTACAATGCTACGTCTCCATCATAGTCCCAGAGCAAATGCGTTTTATTGATTTTTATGTTTAAAACTCTCGTGTTCAAGTAGCATATTTAATGTTTCAAGTACGCCGAAATAAGTTAAAACTCCAACAGGCAAAAACGAGTCCTATAATCTATTGAAGAAATTATAGCAAATTGTGTAACTCTCTGCAAGTTTATTTATAGATTAGGTGACTTCTCAGTTATTCTTCCTGTTTCTCCCATCTTTTGGTAAACAATATAAGTGCTCTGGTTCTATTTAAGGACAATCACTTTTAAAATCATACAAAAGCTTGAGGCTGGGGAAAATTTCTTCCCATAGTGAAAGTGCCAATTCATTTATGAGAGTTTCCATTGGAATGAGAAAGACCTCTGATAATAAATGTGGTTTTTTTAAGTCATTTAAATCCAAATTGAGAGATGCTAATCCCATTACCAATAAGTATTTATGGAGCAAATAACTCTCTATTCATCTATTGCTCCCAAAGATTGTTCTAATTGTGAAGTACTTCGCGCCCCCCTCCTGCTGTTTCTGCCTCTTGCTCACCCTAATTCCCACTTCATTGGGCCCCACTGTTATCATGCAGCTCCCAGACTCTCCAAAGTCCCCTGATGCAGAGCCTCACCTGGGCTTTCCCTCTTTACCAGTCTGCTCCCTTGCAGTATCTTCCATGAAGCTTTGAGGATCTTTTCTTGAGGGCAGTGTCATCGGGTTCCTCCCAGTCATTGCACAGGTGCTAACACGGTTCTTGCAAAGATACTTTATTGTGTTATCATCTCTGGGATGGCTAGAAATACAACACTTTAATTAGAATTCTTTAGAACACAAGTTCTAGCATGTCATAGTTGCCACGTGAAAGATATGTTCACTTGCCAAATAAACCTGGGAAATTCCTAACGCACATTGGCATATGTGAAAAACAAAATACCCCAAATAACCTGTCTGATGTTCTTCAGTATTTCCCATCGTATTGTCCACAGAACCAGGGATGACCTAAGATTCCCCGCCCCCCCCAAAAGAAAGGATCTTGAAAAATGAGCTGTCCTCCTTAGTGATGGGCAGGCAGTAAAGTATTTTGGGGAGAATCTGCACAAAGTGAATTAGAGAAGTTACTCAGCTGGTGTATCACTTAGGAGGATTTTAACAGCACATACTGGAAGACACAACTCAAACTTTGCCGGAAGAAGAGAAATTATAGGTTCATTTCTTGAAAAAGAGTAGATCTGCTTCAAGTGGGGCTTGGCCTTTCAATAACAAGTGATAGGAAAGTCGACTTAAGCAGAAAAAGAGAAATTATTGGTTCATTTACTAAAAAACTCAAGGTGAGGATTAGGGTATTCTACCATGGTCATTGGAGCTTGGTGTCTCTCCCGGCTCTGATTTCTGCCTCTTTGATTGCATTCTTAGAACTCCATGAGATGGTCCTTGCCAGCAAATGACTCTTATCTTCCCAATTGCTAAAGAGCAGTCAGAAAAAGTCTTCTTGCATTTCATTGGTTCTGATTGGAGGACACGATCATCTGTGAACCAATCACAGTGACCAGGGAGATGCCATAAGCTGATTGGTCAGAAATGAGTCCCGGGGCTAGGGGAAGGGCCAACTCCACCCTATGCACAGGGTCAGGGGGACGGGGAGGTAGTGTTGCCCCAGACGAAAGTTGTGTCCCTGTTATCAGAAGCAGAGTGAGTCGGTGCTTGGTGGCCAAGAGATATTCACTTGAAGGAAAAGGAAAACATTCGCTGGCATGTATCTCAGTCTCTGTGTATTTAAAACAATTCAATTTTACAGGTGAGTACAAAGTTGTTATTGAAAATTCTTGAGTGGCTTAATAGGTTAGTGATACAGATAGTCAAGATGTCTGCAGTTATCAGAAAATGCTAGAGAGAGAAGATGTTCCCAGGATGTAAAGGAAAAGTTACCTTCTGAAAATATGGCCATTCAATTTTTGCCCCTTAAAGTGTGAGTCAGTGCTCTGTTCCTTACTAGGCTGCTTTCCTCAAGGGTTAAGGATGTTATTTCAATCCCCCACCACTTAGTGTAATGCTTGGTGCAGAAGGGCTGGTTAGAAGACCCTTTTGGTCTGGATTAATTAATACATTTGCAGAAGGAACTCAAGGGATGATCTTTTTTTTCAAGTATGCACTGGGATGCTTGGGAAATACCCATGACAAGTCAAGAAGTGTACTGTGTCTGGACCACAGTGGACCACTCTGCTAACTGGAGAAGTCTGTAGCTAACAGCCGTTCCCTAATGTGTCTGAAGAGTGTGTGAAAATAAAGGTATTGGTCTAGGAGGAATCTAGGAAGGGAGGACGAGGGCAAGGACTTTTCAGGATCAATGGGAGAGGGGGCCTGTCCAACTTAACTCTGTGCAGCTTCCTTCTTTCCTGTATCTGTGCCACAAATTCCAGCTTCCTTTGCCTTCCCAAACTTCGAGGTCTCCTCCACTCAGCCAGGTTCTGTTCCCCTCCCTGCCCCTGGCAAATGCTGGGCTCACCTTATTTCTTTCCTGTCATGGACCATAATCTTGTGCAGCTTTTTGCTTAAACCCCTGTTGCATATATTTTGTCCAGTTTCCTGGGTGTTTGACGTGGGAGGTAAATCTGGCCCTGTTACTGTGTCTTGGCCTTCGACATCTGAATCCATTGCATCTGGCTGGAAGTGAGGGTGGGCTAAGGAGGGTGTGTGGAATGGACAGAAGCAGCAGGAGGATCTGGCTACAGAGTTCTTTCTGCTGGATGTCTTCCTCACAGCTTCTGGTTCTCTGATGAATGACGATAGGTAAATGTAATTTTAAGCCCTGAGGATGTCCTAGTGGGCATTTATCACGTTTTCTGGAGGTATGGCACTATAAAGGCATCCTCGCTTGGACTTAATCTAAGTCCAGCCTTCCCAAGGCAGAGCTGTCTTTGAGGCATCGATGCAGACATGTGACCAGGGTTTGACCCACCAGCCTCCGCTGTGGGATATTTCAGTTGGGGAGCGAGTGACTCAGGAGGGCATCTCTGGGTAGAATCCATTCTCCCAGAGCAGGTGATTGCACAGCTGTCTGGCAAGATCTTTCCCTGGTGCAGAAGCAGCAAGAGTGGGTGATGTTGGGGCCGTTTCCTCGTGTCCAGAGGCAGCAGCAGAAGCATGAGTTCCTCATCAGGTAGCTCTGTGGCTGGATTTTGGGCATCCGGAACCTCAACCTCAATTCTGTTTCACTAGTCCTGTAAATACCTCCTTCTTCCTCCTGATCAGCCAGAGTTATCTACTCTCGTTTGGAAAACTCATTGTCTTGGCTGTATTGTTATTTGATTGCTTAGTGGATTATCACCAAAGATGCACATAAAAAATTGGATATCACCTTATCAAATAAAGAAAGGCTAAATTTAAATAGCTTCTTCCAAGTAGATCAGAGTCTTGACTGATATGACATCTGTGTATGTCATGGACCGATGACAAAGACCAGAAAAAGCGAAGGCATTAATTATTCTGGGTCTTATCTCTTGCTGTTGTCAACTGTATTAATTTTTCTGTTTGAAATAAAATCTCCTGTTAGTCCAGTGATTGTTATTGGATATTTTAATGACCTGTGTCAGCCGTATACAAGTCATTAACTTTTTGAACAAGTTTCCAGGCTTCTTCAACATTTCCGTAGATGGACATTTGTAATCAAGGTATAGGACGTATTCAGTTGACAAATGGCTTTCTCTAATAGCAGATTTTGAAACAACACCTGGTTTCATTAATTTTATAACTTCTCATTCCTTTACATTCATAAGCTAAACATGTACCCACTACACTTGTAATTCATTTTTGGAAAGATGAGCATATTTGGCATGGTGCAGAGCTGCGGGCCATTTTTATGGGTAAATGCTATCCTCTTAAAGCAGCATGTGTAGTGGTGGTTTATAGTGGAACTCCTGATAGATTCTTAAATGTGTCAGCTGAGCCAGGATGCTAGTAGAGAAAGCAGCTCCCAGGAGTCAACCAGACAAGATGTGGTCATGGAAGATGGGAAATGCTGCTTTAATAAAGTACCATTGACTCTTTGTCTTTTTAATAGAAAATAACCTATTCCTGGCCTGTAATCAAAAGCATATCACTTGGAGTTTCTGGTGGGAATTGCTTAGAGCAGAGGTATATATTCAAATGTCTGAATGGTACACTTCACTCACCACCAAGAATTACTCGGTGAGATTTTTACGGACAGGCAAGAAGTTCCTTTGCTCTGCAGCCCTTTGAAAGTGAATGAGAGGGAATGGAAAAATCAGCAAGCAAAATAAATGGGTGGGCTATGAACATAATAGGTGAGCCATTGAACTAGCTGTTGTTTATCCTTGATTGAGGGTGTATTAAAAACAGTGTCTAAATTCAAAACCAAGCCATGATAACAAGAAGCAAAAGGTTTGTTGAACTTTTTATTGTGTGAGAAGCAAAACTACAGATATTGTAGAATAAATTTCCTGGAAGGGACTTTAGATGTCCATCTAGTACAATCCTCATTTTTCCAATGGAGAAACTGAGGCCCTGGCAAGAAAGTGGCCTGCCCATGGTGGTCATTTATTAGGTAGTAAGAGAGTGCAAGTTCAGAAGGCCACTTCATAAAAGACAGAGCATTGTGACAACATTAAGACTGATGCTAACACCTCTACGTTGTGTCCATTGTGGTGAGTAAAAACCTGGGAGACATTTACAAGCTAAGGAGCACCTGGCTCTCCACGCTGCAAACAACAAATGGAATAATATCCTCTGCTGATAAAATTGTTTGACTCTAAAAAGTGCCTGAGTTTCCATACACCTGAACAGGCTCTCTCCTGCTGGACGTAGGACCTGAATCAAGGCCTCCAGTGTCAGGCTTATTGCATTGACAGGAGCCTCAATGATGAATCAAGATGCAAAAGGGGAGGGTTCAAACAAACAAGATGGGATCCAAGTGCAGCTGAAAAGATTAAGCGCATAGATGCAAGCAGAAAGGGCCCTGATAATAGTAATTCATATCTGGAAAAACAAAAACAAAGACTCCCCAAAACAAAAACAACCGGGGGTTTTAGTTGATTCAAGCTTAGGATGCACCAAGAACACGATGTGACTATTGAATAAACTAGAAGAAAATTTAGGCTGAATTAATCAGGCTCAGTGTCCAAGAGACCTAGAGAAAGGAGGTATGGGAGAAGAGATGCAAGCTCATATAAGAGGGAACTTTCTTGCTACTTATTGTTTTATACTGGGCTGACTTAATTCAGTGTGTGTCTCTGCAAGACTGTGAACATCTGGGTGAACATCTGTTAGGGATGCTGAAGACTTGATTCTGCTTTGGACTAGATGGCCCCCAAGCCCCACTATAAACTCACGTGTATGAGTCCAAAGGCCAGCATAACTCTCCAATTCCCACCACTTGCTGTGTGACCTTAGATAAGTTATTTGACCTCTCTGAGCCTCTGCTTCCTTGGCTGTAAGATAAAATATTTTAAAATATCAGGATTTAAAAACAATCAATTTAAGCAATGCAAGGTAAAGCTCCTTGTGTGGTGCTTAGCATATGGTAATTCTTGAAACGTTTGTGTCTTCAGAGTTTTCCATTCTTCCATCTATAATAACTCATTTAGGGATGAGTATGTGACCCTGTAAGGACTAATGAGAGGCCCTGAGACTTTTGCTGAGGCTTCTTGGTCTTATTCTTGCTTGATGGATTTCAAGCTGAGAGGACAAACTTCCTGGAGATTTTATTACATCTGAACCTGGATATTACAGCCAGGACAACAGAGTTGAGAGATGGAGATAAACAGGCCCATGATGACTTTATCTCGTCCCTGTATCCAGCCATGCCTGAATCCTGGTGGCTTCAGGACTTTGCATTTATATGAGTAAATTAATTTCATTTTTCTAACTGTAGTCTGGGTTCGATTTTCAGTCACGTGCAGCAAAAGAATTGTAACAGAGCAGTCTTCAAGAGAGACACTCTCACATCTTTATAGATTTATTATTATTCCTTAATGTGAAGACTCAATCTGGCGGCTACTCCTTTCTTCCATGCGTGGAGCTATGGAGCCGCTGAGAGTACTGCTTTCCACCTCTGCTTAGAGCCCAGGGCAGCCGACTTTGTTACATCAAGGATGCTTTGACCTGAAAAGTTTACTTGTTATTTTTGGCAACTCTTAGCTTAGAGAAGGTACCTATAAAACCACAGCTGCTTCTTCTTCATTTCTCCCTCTATGTGCCAAAAGCTTGATCAATAATGAATACCTAGAATATCTTCAAACTTCATTTAGCATCTGGCCTGAGGAGGGGAATGCCAAGTCTGGGTCTCACAGCAAGAAAAGTTGGAACCAAAACAGAAATGCTGAGAAATGCTTAGTCACAATGTAGATTCACAGAGTTTTTCTTCCTTTTTTAATGTTACATTGCTGCCATCATCTGCTTGCTGATTAAGTTAATCTTGTCAAAACCTGCTGGAGATTG